TTGAACAGTTTCAAGTGAAGTAGAAAAATGTTCAGTAAATTCTATAGAAATCTCTATAGTACTCAAACATGGATTTTTCACAACCTCTTCTGGTAAAAGTATAGTTTAGGGTACCCCTTGGCGATTTTCGGCGGTACATGGATACTGCTTTTGTACAATTCTTTGACTCGTTATTTTGGCTTGCGAAGCGGCGATTTTTGACCCAAAAATTGCCGCTACACAAAGCCAAAATAACAAGACAAACAATTGCACAAACTCGGTATCCATGTACACATCGACTTATTTTCACTTAAGAAAAAAAAAAAAAAAAAAATCCCCGAATTGCACAAAAATGGCATTGCGCACTCCTTTGACTTGAATATACACGTCGACCTATTTTTGCTTAAAAAAGAAATCCCCGAATTGCACAAAAATGTCATTGCACACTCTTTTAACTTTATCCATGTACACGTCGACCTATTTTCACTAAAAAAAAAATCCCAGAATTGCATTATGCACTCCCTTTACTTTATCCATGTACACATAGATATATTTTCACATAAAACTCAAAGGTGCACCAAATTCTACAATATAGGCAAACAAAAAATACATAATCTCAATAAAATACATTTTAAACCAAACAATAAAATAACATAAAAAAGAAAAAACGTGTTAATACATTTAAGCTTTACCAAAAACAAATATTCACTTACCATGATTTTCAAATTCGCTTCGTACACCCAGAGCCACATAAAAATCAAAATATCAATCATACTCAAATGACTTTTTTCAAACCAGGTACTCTTTCTGATCGAACGCTTCACATAGTGACCATCTGAACCTTTCTTCCTACAAACCCATTCAAATTCATCTAAACGGTTTTTACGTTCGACTAGACGCATGTCCTTCCTACATACAGAACACTTATAATGGCTACTAAGTAAACCTACATTTACACAACAGTCAATTAAAGCTCTTTCCACCTTCACTCCAAATCGTACAGAAACTTCAAATTAATCTTACTAGATTCGGCCATTCTACTGTCTAAAGAATCAAACCAACACACACCACAGAAATGCTTACAAAACATCCCATGATTCAAAATTTCCCAGAATCATGCACCCGATTACGTTACAATAGGGTTTCCATAACATTCAACTACACAGGCTACCATAAATGAAACAACAAATTGGCGATAAAGCAAACAACAAGTTCGCCATAATACAAGGGGTACGGTACAACTCTAATATACGCCCTAATTTCACCAAATGTGGCGATATGTGTTCTGCGCTGGTTTTTGGCACGATTGCATGTTCTATGGCAACCCTGTTGACGTTGAAAAATCTTTCGCTGGAGCTCGTTGATTCGCCTCTGTTCTGAGAAGATGGGAGGGAAAGATAAAATGGTAGTTGTTGAATTGAAGTTCGGCAAAAGAAAATATCATTGTGGCTATCCTGTTGAGGGGTAGTGGGTATTTAGAAGTGTGGAAAGAGTGTCTGGGAGATTATTTTTAATGGCAGTGCAAGATAGAAGTAGGGATTTGTGATTTTATTTATTTGTGAACCATAGTATAAATTTTCTGGATAGTGTGTCTGGCTGTCATGTAAATACGATAGTGATTACATGGGGGCATGTTAAAGGCGGTATGAAATTTATATTTCTGCTATTCGAAAATGCATTAATTCATGGTAAGTGCATTTTATTTTATCCTTGTTCTTATTTTGTAGAATGTTATGTTCATGGGTTCTTTAGTATGAATTTCTGTCGTTATTGTTGTTTTTTTTAAATTGTTTGAAATTTATTTTAGTTTATTTTGTTGTTTAGTGTCTAGACTGTGCAATTCGTAAATGTTTTTTAAAGTTGAAACAGAATGCTGTGTACATGGTATTATTTGAAATTTATTGTTGTTATGTTATTTTATTAAAGCGAGGAGTGCGTAGATCGTAGATTCCTTCCTTGCCTAAATTGTGCAATTTGTAGAATTTTTTTAAAGTTTAAACAGGATGCTGTGTACATGGTATTTTTTAAAATTTATTGTTGTTATGTTAATTTATTAAAGCGAGGTGTGCGTAGTTTGTAGATTCGTTCGTTGCTTACATTGTGCCATTTGTAGATGTTTTTTTAAGTTAAAACATGTCGCTGTGTACATGGATTCTTGTCAAATATTTTTGGTTAGAAACTTTACGTTTTTGTTATCTAAATTTTTTTGATTTTGTTTCGGATTTTTAGCTAAATTGTATGTTGAAAAAGTAGTTTTTGCATGTGCGAAAACCGCGTTTTTGGAGACATTTTAGGCTAAAAGTTCGAAATGTAGACAAAAAATTTCAATAGTAATATGGCAGCGTGAAGTTTCTCGCCAAAAATATTTGGTGCGAAATTTGGCGACTTGAGGGTGCATATCAGAGTAGTTCCAAGGGGTACCTTAAAGTCTACTCTACCTCCTCTTTTTACTTTATTTTCGATCTTATTTCCTTCTTTAAAGCATTTGATCACATGCTGTACCATTGAATGTGATAAATTTACTAATTTAGCCATATCCCGAATTGATTTTCCATCATTATGATAAAAAATGATAAATTTTTTAATGATACAGTACAAAATCTTTAATCCGGACTCGTTGGGATTTTGGCAATTCCGGATTATAGATCATCAATTTAAATCTGGTAAGATGGCATGCAGAAATTATAAAATTAAAAATATGAAACCATAATTTATGAAATAAGAGCAATTATGATCTAAAGGGTATCAAAATTTACAAAAAAAAAAAAAAGCTTAATATTTGTTTACTTTATTAAACATTTCTTTCAATGCGCGCATTCGTAAAGCATACATTACGCATAGTCGAAATTAGAAAATTGCAACCAGAAAACTATTTGATGTATATTCATAATATTTATAATGACGAGGAATTTGATTTAAATCATATCGAAGACGGAAGTACATTCGAAATGAAATACTGCAATTAGTAAGGAATTATAAGCCGAAACAAAATAAAAAGATATTGCCCTGAAGATAAGGATAGTGCTGACAGAATCAACCTTCCAGTTCATTGCGCGCCGCGACGTTCCCCCCTCACCCCCGCAGAGCAGCGTGAAATTGATACACAGATTTTGGAATGGTTAGAGAAAAAAAGGATATGCCTTTATCCATTTTTTGCAGCAATTCCACTTTTTGTTTGATGGACATCGAAACATGCTTTCGCTTTGTAGATCTTTTGGCAGCTCCAGAATCAGAAATTCTTTTTGACATAATCGAAAGTTCAAGCTTACTTTTATAAAAGTGCTCTAACAGTCTGCAAAAAATAATAAGCCAGATCCAATTAGAAGATTAAGGAACAACGCAATCTGCAACATTAAGTGAAATAGATAATTAGATCATTTTAGCTTAGCTTATACTGTCCGATATACATTAAACCTGCATGTGTAAATGCATTATGCATGTGTAAATTCATTATGCATATGCACATGCATAAAGGTCATATGTACATGTGCGGAAAGTTTGTATCTTTGAGGTCCGGATTATAGATCATTCCGGATTATGGACGTGCGGATTAAAGACTTTTGACTGTAATTGTATGCGTGTATTGAAAGAAACAGTCAATCTGATAAGAAATGGCTGTGACTTGTTTTGAAAATGTAAAAGTTAAAGTAAAATGTTCCCAGCGAGGATATTTCATTTAGCATCGGTTGTACCATTACTGCCGACTTTATCGCTTGCGCTGGCAAAACGGAAAAGTACTGTTTTTTTTTTAAATCTGCATATTAAAATTCTGGTTTAAATTAATGGTACCTTGATCACAAATTAACCGTAAATGGTAATACAATTTGTAAAAATATGCACTCTGAGGAGACTTACTGAAGGTGAATCGTACATAAAATATATTGCTGCGATATTAATGTTTGCATATTTCTATAATTTCTAGTCTAAAGCCAGTACTAGATATAGTTAAGATGTGTAAGAATAGTTTTTAATAATATAATAACCAATGATTTGAATTGATGTTTAGTTATATATTATTATTTATTAGAAACTTATGAAGAATTACTGACAGTGAAAGAGTGTAAACGAATCATAAGTTAGATAAAATATTTTTGAAAAAATAATTCATTACAGTAAACCCTTGCTAGTGTGAAAGCTACACAGTTAATCTATTGCATGCACAGCAAAATCGAGTTGCACAATGTTAATATCTATAGAAAAAGTGCGTTTGTTAGAATTCATATTAAGGAAGTATGTATAATTTAAATAAACATAAATATAGTTGTACTTAAAAAAAGAAAAATGTGAATTGAATGTTAACTAAAAAAATTTATTCTGCTGCTTACTAAAAATACGGTACTTAAAAAAAAAAAAAAAAAAAAAAAAAAGGCTGGTAAGTTTTGCCTGGGAAAAAAATGACGCAAATTGTTTAAAGTTTAGGGATACAGAGTTTTAAATTGCCTCTTATGAAGTGTCCTTTTCTTTGTTTGGTTCAAGTTTCATACAAAATTAGATAGTTCATTTGCCTTTTTTAGCTATTTAAGTTCTTCAAAGGCATTTTAACTAATTCGTTTTTACTGTGTTCACTGATGGTTGGTGTGATAAGATCATCCAATTCTTCATTTATCATTTCTTGATTAATTCTTCTTGTATATCTGAAACTTCTTCACGATCAATTGCTTTTGTAGTTTGTATGATTTATTTGGTTTCATTTTCAGTGGATGAAAATCCATTAAAATTGTTGATAACATCTGGCCAGCAATGATGCCACCAAGCATTCAGTGTTGATAAAGGAATGTTGAACCACATTCATATGAAATTCTAGTTTTAGGCAAATCAAATGGAAACAATTGAAGTACCAAGTGTAAGAAATATTGTGTTTTGAAAACTTGCACTTGGAGAGGGTTTACTGTAAAATGTCATTTAATAAAATTGTCAGAAGCATGTTAATAAAAACATATAAAACAGATTTTTTTATGTTTAGCAACTATCAAGCATTTTAATTTGAATATATTAATACTTTTTTTTTTTTACTTTTGCAGAATATGAGTTTCCATCTTCCTTAACTTCAACTGAAAGAGCATACTTACATCGATATTGTCAGCAGCTGGGTTTAAAATCGAAGAGCAGAGGGTAGTTCAGCTTTGTATTTTTTACATTTCTATTTATAATATACTCTGATCCAGTTGGTTTATGAGATGAGGGTTTTGATTAATGTAACTGGCATCATGTTTCATTATTGTAAGCTTTCAACATGAATACCTCAGTTAGCATCAATATTGTTTTGTGATATTTTAGTATGTAATCAACCTGTGAGTAGGCAAACAAGTTTTGTGCATTTTGTGATTATCTGCATCCCGAGGTTTCAATATTCAATAGTTTAGCAGGCCATGTTTTTGTCATATTTGCGAGTATATACATGACAGCAGCACCATTGGCACGAAATCTAGTAGAAGAAAAATAGCAAATCTAACACAAGCTACAACTTCCTTCATGAAAACAACTGCTGCATTAATCCAAAATAAATGCAAAAGACAAAGGCAAATTCAGAAATTCACAAATAATGTAATTATTCTGGTCAGTAGTTGCAGTTCACTGAATTCTACCAATGTTGAGCTCTTGATGCCATAAGTAAATGTACTGAATAGCTATCTGGAAAAGAATCCACAAACCTAGGAACCAACATCTGATCTGGAAACCTTTCCCCCCCACTCACAATTTTCATATACAATGTCAATTCACTTTTCTAGTGGTTGTAAAATAGTTTCATTTTGTAGTTCCCTGAACAAAGTCTTCCTGTGTTTATAATGTCTTTATCTTTAAAAAAATAAACTACGGCTCTTTATCATTTGATTATTACCAAGTAGAGTTTTTTTTTATGAACCAATATTAAGAAAAAAGCAATTATAAAATATTAAAAGAAAGTTATGGGATCAATATCCAATCTTTCATATTATTCATCATGGTCTTCTTGCATATGTACTCATGCGGTGAATACAATATTTGCCATTTTGGTGTTCAGTTACTGGTGACCCATTAATTGAAAAGTACCTGGCTACTTAAATTATGTTTAGCTTATCATGACATCAATATATTATGCTCTGAAATAACAGTTTTATAGTACATTGGAGCCGCCGTATACACAGGTAGTATGCTCAAAATTTAATATAGGTAATAGTGAATACTGTCTAAACAAAAATTCATATATTACACATAATTAGTCTTATTTAATTGGAAAGTTAGGCAAGTAAAACAATATCGATAATAAATATTCTGTACATTATGTACCAGGCCATTAAATATAATAAGGTATGATATATTGTTTATTAAGTATACTCTGGCTTTTACATATGAAAATAGATACTTTTCTACTAAACAAACCATGCATTTTCAGTACCATATTGGCACATTCTTATTTTTTTCTCCAGCCTTTGGCTCGGAATGAGGTGAAGGGGGGAAAAAATTAGAAACAGTTAAAAATAAACATTCTCCAATTTCACGGCAAAATGCTCTAAAAAACCATTGTGGTAGAAGAACATGACCTATGTTATTTTTTTCTTTTTTTAAATAAGTTTACAGAAATTTGCACTGCTTTGTAACATGCCAATTTTAACATTAGGATGACATAACAATTCATGAGAGGCACATATTTCTCTCATGCAGTTTTCCTAAGCCTTTGTGTAGCGATTCATTTGAAGAAAGCTTTGGTTCACAAAACTCAATAGACGTTTAACTTCTGATACTACAGTCAAAAGTCGTTAATCTGGACTCGTCGGGACTTCGGCGATTCCGGATTATCGATTTTTCCGGATTATAGATCATCAGTTTAAATCTGGTCGGATGGCATGCAGAAATTACAAAATTAAAAATATGAAACCGTAATTTATGAAATAAAGAACAATTATGATCTAAAGGGTATCAAAATTTACAAAAAGAAAAAGCTTAATATTTATTTGTTTACTTTATTAAACATTTCTTTCAATGTAAGTTGTTTAAGTTGCTTCGTTTCATGTGATAATACTTTCTCTTTAATTCTATTAAACAGATATAATTTCTAGTTTAGTTAAAAAGTTCCGCTGTTCAATTCCTATAATTGCTGTGTCGAGAATACCGACTAATTTGTCAATCGAAATTTTTCGTTTTCAATAACCTCTGTCACTTTCTTCACTATCGGAAGTGAATTATAATGACGAGGAACTTGTTTTAAATCATATCAAAGATGGAGTACATCGAGATGAAATACTACATTTAGTAAGGAATTATAAGCCAAATAAAATAAAAACATCTGCCCTGAAGATAAGGATAGTGCTGACAGATCAACTTCCAATCATTGCATGCTGCGGCGTTCCCCCCACTGAGCAGCGTGAAATTGATAAACAGATTTGGGATTTCGAAACATACTTTCGCTTTAGATCCTTTACATATTAGCAAATATATATCGAAAATTCTATTTGATATAATCGAAAGTTCAAGCTTACTTTTATAAAATTGCTCTAACGATCTGCAAAAAATAATAAGCCGGATCCAATTCGAAGATTAAGGAACAAAGTAATCTGCAACATTAACTAAATTAGATAATTTTAGCTTAGCTTATACCATTCGTTATACATTAAACGCGCATGCGTAAACGTTTTATGTGCACGTGCACACGCATATTTGCAGTCGTGAAGGTCTTACACGCACACGTAAACGGCTATGCGCATGCGGCAACGCGATGCATGCGCAGAAAATTTGTAGCTTTGAGGTTCGGATTATAGATCATTCCGGATTATGGGTGTCTGAATTAATGACTTTTGACTGTATAAGTAAATAAATCATATGATATTGATGAAAGGAGTGCATGATTCAGCAAATCGTGTATATTCAGGTACCGTTTTCTTTCTCGCATGAACTAATCTTGCACAGCTATTTTAGAAAGCCATATTTTTAATTTCATGATGTGGTTATTTGAACACAAACTTTCTCTGAAAAGAATACCTCTTTCTTTGAGTAACAGAATAGCTACGTGTTTATCTCTGGCAAATCCCAAATCAAAATATCCTTTGCTGTGTTTTTTAAAGGGTTAGATCAAAAATGTGGTTGTCCAAGCAGTGTTTGTAAAGACAGTTATTGTTATAAAAGAAACCAAATCGAACTGGTGACATCTGGCACTGAAAAATTATGCCAAAACAAAGCAAATAAGAGCAGCAGAAAAACAGAAGTGTAGCTCTGGCTAGTATGGTGCAAATGCAAAAATACTGAGTATTTCTGACATACTTTTATACATTTATAATTTACTGATGAGTATTAGGCAAATGCTAAACAGTTTAGAAAAATTACAGTTATGGAAGTAAATGTAAGTTAAGTGCTGTACGACTTCTAATATCGAAGATTCCTTACCAATATATTTATAACCTTCAAGTTAGGCTGGGAACTCAGAGAGGTTGAAGTTTTTTTTTTTTTTTTTTTTTTTTTTTTTTTTTTTTCCTGGTAACTTGAGAATGTGACAAGAAGCTGTAATAGCCACCTTCACTCTGCATATTTAGTTATATTTTCCCAAAATGGGCCTGCAAATGGGAGAATGGACAATGTTGGACATGTCAGCTATGTTACAGTTACTTATGACTTCATTTGCCTTTCTTAAGTTACAGCATATGACATTTATGGGAATTCTTTTTCCTGTCACTTTGAACTGTGGGTATTAAATTAACTGATACTGGGATTAAAATTAAAAATATTAAAAATTTATATAATTCAAAATAAATATTTTAAATGGAATTTTCATAAATATTTTTTATTGTTACAGTAATCAAACTTTCATATATTTTTGTTAATTTTTTTCTTTATATAATGTCTAATCTTAATTATTCTTTTAGTGAAGGAGCTAACAGATTTTTGACTGTGTACAAAAAGGAAGGTTCAACAATTGTACAAGCTGATGCCGTCTTTGAGCTGGGCCATGCATCTCACAGACAAACAGTCAATCTGATTCAGAAGTTTCCTATTACTGCAAGAGAAAGACAAGAGCTCTTACCTCCAACAGAAAGAGATCGTATTTTAGGCCAAGACAGTAATCTATATAATTTTTTAGATACATTGTTATCTAGTTATGCTTTCAAAATGAATTTTAATTCAAAAGCAGTGAAACCTCAGTTCATGAATGTAATTTGTTCCTGAAGGTAGTTTGTCATCCAAAATGACTGTAAACTGAAATTAACTTTGCTATAAGAACTAATGCAAAATGGATTAATCCATTCTTGGAATACAGATGTTTACTTATTCAAACTTTGCAACAGAACTTTGTTCACAAGTTCATAATACAAAACTGATGGAAATAATTAAATTTAAGATAAAAAATATAAATAAAAAGAACAAAAAATGTTTTATTTATTTATTTTATAATTTTGCCATGCACTCAGGAGAGTGGATAGCATAAATGGAAATTTGATGAGGGTATGTTAGTGTTTGGATGAGGAATCCCCTTCCATGAAAACATTAAGTGTCTTTCTGAAGCTTCTTATTTCTTCTTTTCTTTGTATTTTAATGCCATATGATTCTGATTGAAACTTACTGGGCATTCATTTCCCTTAAAGTTTAACCAATGATTGTTGCTGTGTACATTTTAAAGTGTTTCTGAAATGAAACATCACATTGTCATTGATAATGCTTATTCTATAGCTTGTGAATGCTTTATCAGCTGATTAAGCTTCACACTTTACTTCACTTTGCACAATTTTATAGATCAAATGACTAGTTATAACTCCACAATCACCTGTTTTTGAAGTTGCTCCTTCCTGTTTTGTTGGCGAGTTCATTTTTATCCTTTAAGCATCAAAGCCTTCAACATTTTTGCAGACATCACAGTCTGGCCAGAATTTCCCCCTGGCTGAATTCATGTAAACCATTTGCTGTTAGGCTTTATTAATGAGAATTAAGTAGTGAAAAATAATAAAATATTTCTAAAAGTCTTTGATTATTAGTTCTGTGGCATAAATTACTTCAAAACACATTTGAAAATCATTTATTGCTGACTCGGGTGTTTGTAACTCAAGATGCCATTCATTACGAGGAGCATTTTTTTGTGTAGATAATTTGTTAGTGATGAGCAGTGTTCATGATCTGAGGTTCCACTGTAAATTTATCATGTTAAATAGAGTATAATACTGCATGTAAAATTGTGATGCAAGTTTTTAATTTTTTTTTTAAATTTAACTTTATAGTATACTGCTCATCAAAACTAAAGGATAATCTGCAAAAATATGCTGACTAATTAAAGTTTCAACTAGTGTCCAGTGATGTAATTATTTATGTTAATTATGCACAACTGAATGCAAAATTTGATCTTTGTATATAGGTTAGTGTATGAAATGTGAAAATTAGGCAGTGCTGAAATTCGGACGGAGGGGTAATGTTGTATAATGTATTATACATTTTGCATTATGAGCATAATATATGCTGCTAACTCTGTAACTTTAAACAATTTTTTTCATTTTTTCAGCAAAAGATTAATAAAAAGTCTTATTTGACAAATATTTAGCCTTGATATTAACAAATAATAAAATTTTCAGAATTTTGCATTTTTGAACTTTTTAAAGAGAATAGTTTAAGATATAAACTTTAAACTAATTCTAAAATTAAAAACTCTTTAAACTAAATACGAAATTTTTTTTATATGCAATTTGGAATTATCCTTGCTTTAAATGTAAGTATAGAAATAATACTTTCTTACCATGAAAATGCACTGTTGAACTAAAGTCTCTGTAATGGGAATAAGATGATTTAAATATAAAAGAATATTTACTTCAGTCACAAAAATGTAGAAATTTTTCGTTAGATGAATATGAAGTGATTTAAAAATTAAATTGTCAAACTACAATATTTAAATCAAGTCTCTTAATGTAATGAATTTTGGCTGATATTTATGAAGTTATATTAAATACTATCACTAATTGTTTAAAAAAGCAATATTTTTAATAAAAATTGCAATCAAATGCTCTCTACTTGCCATCACAGAGAACTGCAAAGAAGATGCTTTTGAATAAAGAAGTGAAATGTCATGCTTATTGGTTTTCATGTTATGTAGCTTTTGACCTTGCTTGTTAACTTTTTAGACGTGATTTGATAAAAATGAAACAAGAAATAGTTCTGATGTTGAAGATAAGAGGAAAATTACAGCCAATCAAGTTTGCAGATACTCTTTTTGGTCTAAAGACTGCAAAAAAATTTCTCTAAATTATTAAATAGAAAGTGGAGTATCTAACATTTTCTAAAAAATTGGTAAAGAAATTTATAGAGTGTAATCTTTGAAACAAACACATACTTTAAAAAATTTTGCATTTCATTTCAATACATAATTTCTTTTCTTTGCATGCTTACTTGTCTGTTTTAATAGCTTGACCTAACAAGTACAGTCAAAAGTCTTTAATCCGGACTCGTCGGTGACTTTGGCGATTCGGGATTATCGGTTTTTCCGGATTATAGATCATCAGTTTAAATCTGGTAAGACGGCACGCGGAAATTATAAAATTAAAAATATGAAATCGTAATTTATGAAATAAAGAGCAATTATGATCTAAAGGGTATCAAAATTTACAAAAAAAAAAAAAAGCTTAATATTTATTTGTTTACTTTATTAAACATTTCTTTCAAAGCACGCATGCGTTAAGTATACATTACGCATAGTCGAAATTAGAAAATTGCAACCAGAAAACTATTTGATGTGTATTCGTGATATTTATAATAACGAGGAAATTTATTTAAATTATATCGGTGTACATCGAGATGAAACACTACATTTAGTGAGGAATTATAAGCCGAATAAAATAAAAACATCTGCCCTGAAGATGAGGATAGTGCTGACAGATCAACTTCCAGTTCATTGTTCATTCAGCGACGCCCCCCCCACACACACCGCACAGAGCAGCATGAAATCGATAAACAGATTTTGGAATGGTTAGAGAAACAAATCACCTGTCTGTCACTTTCTTCATGCCTTTATCCATTTTTTTGCAGCAATTCCACTTTTTGTTTAATGGACATCGAAACATGCTTTCGCCTTGTAGATCCTTTGGCAGCTCCAGAATTGGAAACTCTTTTTGACATGATCGAAAGTTCAAGCTTACTTTTTATAAAATTGCTTAAACAGTCTGCAAAAAATAATAAGCCAGATCCAATTCGAAGATTAAGGAACAATGCAATCTGCAACATTAACTGAAATAGTTAATTAGATAATTTTAGTTTAGCTTATACCGTCCGTTATACATTAAACGCGCATGAGTAAACGCATATGCGCTTGTGCAGAAAGTTTGTAGCTTTGAGGTCCGGATTATAAATCATTCCGGATTATGGACGTCCGGATTAAAGACTTTTGACTGTAATCCAAGTTCAGTGAATTTTATCATTGGTACTAGAAAGATTTTTTAAATTCAGATTTGTCTTTATGTTCAAGTTAGTTCAAAAACTTGAGTCCTTCACTTCCAGAAAAAAGAAAATTAACTGTGGAAAAATACTGTGTTTTGCTCAAAAATAAGATCCCTGTTTCATTTTACAGAACTTGTATGGTATTCAAATCCACCTTAGTCCTTAAGTTTTTCGAAATGATTTTTGGTCCTTATAAGTCCTTAATTTCAGCCAAATGCCCTTAATTTTACTCAACTAAGATTCCCATCGATTTTTTTTATGATTGGCATTTTCAATATGACCTAACATTTTGGAGAGAATACTTTTTGGTGATGCATTGACAAATATGTATTTGATAGGTCACGCTTGAATTCTTTCTTACTTTTTAATATAAACTGTGGATACTTGAGTTTCAGGCATGAGGATGTGTCTCAATTGAAACATAAAAACATCTCGAAACAATTTAATTTTTTTTTTTTTTTTTTTTTTTTTTTTTTTTTGCAAATGAACATTTCATGAAATAATGCATCAAAACCAATTCCCTTTAGGGAATATGAGTTCACTTATTATGCAGTGCTAAATTTTGTGACTTATCAACATTTGGGGGATTTCCAGATCAGTTTATATGCTAAGTATTTTATTCGAAGATTTGTGCATGTTAGACTACTTTTTTAACCAACATAATAACATTGATAATTATCACAAAAATGATGATAATGTATTAAAGAAATAACGTTAAAATAAAATATTTTTATTTTCTCCTGCCCTATTTTAAAGGGATATTACTTTACATTTTTGTGACTTCGAAATATTTTGATTCTGAAAATAAACAAAGTAATAAATGCAAACCACAGTTTCTGAAACACTTTTGAGAAAAAAAAATAAAAACAAAAACTACTGTAATTATTTTAAAATGAATTTCATTTGTCTTTTGTATTTTTCCATGATAAAAGTTTTTTCCCATGTAATTGTGTTAGAATATTTAAATGTGTATCAATTTTCTCTTGAGAATGATCTTTTAAGTTCTGAACCTTTTTTTTTTTTTCAAAAATCTTCTGGCTTTTTGCACTTGCAGACTTGGTAGAGATTTTAGACTTTGCACATTAGAAGGCTCATAAGGATTTAAAGGCAAGATTTTATAGACTAAATTCCAGGAAATTCTGAAAAAATGAAAATATCGTCATGGTATTACCATGCAATGGACATGTTCTATACAAAGTTTGTGAGGGATTTTTCATCTTTTGAAGAATTTTTTTAAGAATAAAAATAAAATTATTTGAATTTTCTCCTTTTGATCCTATCTATTTTTTTACTGTTAAAGGTATTTTGTTTTGCTATCAGATTTTAATAAATGTTACTTTTCATGACTGAGAAAATGTTTTTGCCTAGTTCAGTAATTTTAATAGTCATTTATTTACTGTATGATTTGTGGGCTAAATATAATATTTTTATTGCTTATTTCTTGTGTGTTTCTCTCAGTATAAATGCAAATTTCTTGCAGCATTTGAAGGCTGTCCTTTCTTCAACTATGGTATTTATATCATGTTTAATAAATATACAGTACAAAGTCCACAATCTGGACTCGTCAGGACTTCGGCGATTCCGGATTAGGGTTTTTTCCGGATTATAGATCATCAATTTAAATCTGATAAGATGGCATGCAGAAATTATACAATTAAAAATATGAAACGGTAATTTATGAAATAAAGAGCAATTATGATCTAAAGGGTATCAAAATTTACAAAAAAAGCTTAATATTTATTTGTTTACTAGTAAGTACTAGTGGTTATTAGTAAACATTTCTATCAATGTAAGTTGTTTAAGTTGCTTCGTTTTTTATGCTAATACTTTCTCTTTAATTCTATAAACAGACGTAATTTCTTGTTCAGTTACAGAGTTCCACTGTTCAAGTCCTGTAATTGCTGTGTTGAGAATATCGACTAATTTGTCAATCGAAATTTTTTCGTTTTCAATAACGTTCTCTGTTACTTTTTTCGTTTATCAGAAGCGCATATGGGTAAACGCATGCGTGCATCAAATATGCATGCGTAAACGCTTTACGCACATGCGTAAACCCATTACGCGCATGCGCAAGTTTGGGGCTTTGAGGTCCGGATTATAGATCATTCCGGATAATAAGCGTTCGGATTAGAGACTTTGTACTGTATATGTTATAAATATTTTCAAAGTTAATACATTTGAAAACTATATATTTTTTCTTTTTGAATTTTTAAGGGGATTACTCATGATCAGGAAATTCTAGGAAGTTCTTATTTACCATATTTATAAAGTGTTTTTGTACTTTGATGATACACCACCCAATCAAAAACTCTTGAGTATGTTGCCGACTTTGGAGACATTTTTGAACTCATCAGCAGCTAATTTTTCGCCAAGCTAATTCGCAAAATGGCTGCATACTTTTTCTTATAAGAGTAGTCAGCCAGGAAACTTAAAAAAGGAAGCAAAGTAATGAAGCACTTATCTTTTCAAGAAATCTTTCCTTTTTATGCGGCTGTGCTTCCCATGAACACAACATCTGCTTTCGCTAAAAAAAAAAAAAAAAAAAAAAAAAAAAAAAAAAAAAAAATTTGCACTAACTTGAAATTTTAGAACTTTGGCATTGTCCACTGGCCAAAACTAATATATATAAAGCACATACTTGGGCTCCCACATAAATATTTTTGGTGGCATAATGGGTGTCGTATAATTATTTTGGTAACATACATACTATGCCTTAGCAATATTTTTTAATGATTTTTCGATGGAGGTGTGAAGTGTTTTCTATTCTAATATTTATTTTCTCCTACAGTGCGGGATGTAAGTCGCACCATAGGCAGGCTTGGTAGTGGAATTCCAATGGTGCCACAGCATAGATGTGAAAATGACTTCACTCCATTTCGTCAAAGTTTGCCTATATGGAACAGCAAAGAAGAAATAATTCAAATGATATCTTGCCATCAAGTGATTTTAATTTCTGGTGAAACTGGCAGTGGCAAAACAACTCAGGTAAACTTTCATCGATACAATTAATTTAGTTTATAGAAATTTAATCTAAACAGGAAGGAAAGCGGGATATGAATAATCCTAGTAAGAAAGTATGGTTTTTTAAGCTTCTTTTTCTCTTCTCTCTTTTCTCTGTTATATGAAACAACATAAATTGGCCTTTTTAATCTACTAGTATATTAAAATCATTTCTAGTAAAAATTTGAGTCTGTTTCTGTTTCTTCATGTACTTTATAATATATCTGTTATGAAAGCATTTGCATGTTGCTTTTATAGGTACCACAGTTTATCCTAGATCATCATAGCATTATTGGTCAGCCTTGTCGTATTATATGCACTCAGCCACGCAGAATAGCTGCTATAACTGTTGCTGAACGGGTTGCCATGGAACGGGATGATAAAATTGGGCAAAGTGTAGGGTATCAAGTACGGTTAGAGAGCAGGTAAATGTTCTGAATTACATTTAATTAATTGTGAACTGAAATTGTATTTATAATATTACTTATGAGCTATATTTTTGATCGAAAAATATGCTACTTTTTCTTTTTGTGAATTTTTACCTTTGAAAATTGGTGTTATATTTTTATTAGTAATTTTATGAGATTGTTTCAATATTTTGAATTATATTTGTAGAGTATCACCAAAGACACTTCTTACTTTCTGTACAAATGGTGTGCTTCTGCGAACTCTTATGGGTGGTGATGCTTCAGTTGCTACAGTAACACATATCATTGTGGTAATTAGTTTTGAAGTGATTTTCTTAAACAAAATATATTTCTTTGTTTATGATATATTCTTAACTGTAAATGCTAGCAATATATAATATATATTAAATGAATTCGAAATGATTTTAACGCAATAGATGTTGTGCCAAGTTAAAAGTTTGTAGTAATTTAGAGTATGAGGAAAAGCAATTTATATTTAAATTGAAATGAAAGATGTTTCGACTGTAAATATGCTGTTAAAGAAATAATTTATGAACTATGTTGTTAATTTGTTTTAATTACATTTATTGTATTGAATCCTAATAATACAACTATGTAAATATGTGTTTTTTGTTCAGAATTTTTCATCAATCCCCCCCTTTAAATATGTAGATGATGGAAATAAAGAAAATAACTATAAATTGTTGATAGAGAAGCATGTAAAATATGTTAATGAGTACATTATTTTACTATGTGGAAAATAGGTGTTAATTATCATGATTAGATATAAAATGAGATTGTGGTACGTATATGAAAAGGGAATGATTTCTTTCGCTCATTTATCATTGCAGTGACAAGATAAATTTTTAACTTTTTAAAAATAATTTTAAAAGTGTGTTTAATGTATTGAACATGTCAGAATATTTTATTATTTAGGTTAATAATGTCTCTGTTTAGTATTGCAAGTAGGGATTGCAGTACCGGAATACTGAATAATGGTATTTTGAGCCATTTGTACAACTTTGTAATACCGATATTCAAAAGTTTAAATACCTTTTTTTTGGTATTTACTGGAAATTTTTAAAATTCTCTCCACTATGTGTTCAGGGGTCGCCAACATAGCAAAACAGTGTAAATTTTTATTTTTATGTCTTCCTAACGGGCGAAATTGATTAAGACTGTGAATACAAAGTTGAATCGTACAGTCTAGAGAAATGATACAATATGTTAATCATCTAAGGAGGCCAGCCAAAACTATCCTGTCCAATTTCAGCTCAGAGTGATACTGCATACACGCAGATTTCATAGTCTGATATTCGTATCTGTGAAAACAATGTTGTAGTTCCGAAGAAAGTGTATAATATTTCAAAATTTTTTTAAATTGGTGAGTTTTTTATTCACATTGTATTTTCATATTATACTTTAGGGTTCAAAATATTCTTCAGATTTATTATATACTTATAATTAATAAACCCATAATAATGAATCAGAATAACTTTAAAGAACATAAAAAATCTGTTGATAATACTTCGGTTTGGTTTAATTATTTATATGATGAAAAGAATATGGTGGCACAATGTAAAAAATTTTCAAGAATTATTAAAGTGAATGGGGGGATGTACAAGCGGACCCCATACACATTTAAAAACAAAACATGATACAAATTTGTTAAAGAGGAAAGAATCTAATTGTGATGAAGATACAAATTTAAGCATAGTTTCTAAGCCCAAGCCATTAGGGATTTTGGATTATTTAAAAAAATATAATTTGGATGAAATTATAAGTAAAATGACAGCATTAGATGTTTTGCCATTTCAAGTGTTTTGCACTTCTACTGAATTAAGATAATCACTATCCGCCAGAGGTTTTAAAAATCTGCCAACATCGATTAACACTATAAGAAGAACTCTTATAAACTACAGTAACAGTGTTCACAATTCTTTGACACATGAGTTAATACAATTAAACGTAAATGGGGAAAATTTTAGTCTTACATTTCATGAATGAACAAGTGTAAGAAATAAATGCTATTTTAATATAAATATTCATTCAGGAAAAAATTTTTGGAATATAGGACTCGCTCATGTGTCAGGAAGTATGCCAACCGAAAAATGTGTGAAAGTGCTTAAATCTAAATTAGCGAAACATAGATTATCCCTGAAAGAAGATATTGTATCTGTTATGGACTGTAGCTATGGAATAATGAAACTAATTTTCTTTTAAACCCATCTTTTATTCTATTCGTAAATTAACTGCTCAATTAGCAGCCATTCAAAAATCCAAGCAACAAATTTCTCATCGAACAGGCTAATAAAAAAAGAATTAAAAAACAAATGATGTTGACGCATGCGTGTTACAAGATTCATTGCTAGGCAACTAAGTAGAGGCAGCAGACAATCGGCAGAAGATTAGGCACCAACATCCCGTCTGGTGTTGAAATTCTAATTTCAAAGCTAATATAAATTATTTAAGAAATTCAAAGTTTGATACATATATCAGTTAGAAACAATTAAATGCAATAATATATCTATTAAACAAATAACAAACAAATTACTACATTTTAGCATAAATATATATATATAATATTAATACAATTAATTATAATATAAATTCACTACATCAATCGTTCATAGGTAGAATACATAGGTTCTGTATTCCACGTTTTATCAGCCTTCTCAAATCGGCGTTGGCTCCGACAAAGTTGGTAGCGTTGTCCGAATATATAGTTGAGCTAAGACCGCGTCGCACTGAAAATCATTTTAATGTTGCAATTACAGCTTGCGATGTTAGATCTATAACAAAATCGAGATGTATCGCTCGAGTAACTAGACATACAAAAATAACAACATATATCTTATTTAAGATACCTCTTTGTTGATTTTTATATTTTATGTAAAAGGGTCCGCATAAATCAATTCCAGTTACGGAAAAGGGGGGCTCGCAGAAACTCTTTCCTTCGGCATTGGTGCCATAAGTTGTTGGCCTATTTTAGGTTTATTTTAAAAAACAGATAATGCAGTTATGTACTATTTTTACGAGCAATTTTTCTGTCGTTTAGTGGCCAAAATTCCTGTCGAACACTATGCAGCAAAGTCTGAGCATCAACATGTAAAGTTTTTAAATGGTACTTATAATTATAGTAGTTAAGTTATGATCCCTAGGCAGCAGAATAGGATGCTTTTGGTCATAGGATAAAGATGATTTATTTAATCTGCCACCTACCACAAGTATTCCATTTTCGTCGATGAAAGGATTTAAATTACTTAAGTGACTATCCTTTATAATTTTACCATATCTTAGGGCTTGAATTTCTTCCTTGAATACTATTCGCTGTATTAGCCTTACCATTGCTAGCTTGGCATATGTAAATTCATTTCTAGTAATAGAACCTGATGACCTCTTACCTTGTTGACAGTTGGAAATAAACCTTTAAATAAAACTAAGAATACGAATTAGTTTAACAAAGCTATTAAAGAAAATAGTTAATGAAATGAGCACTAGAAGGAATGCTAAGAGAAATTTCTAGAGATTTTTTCAATTCGCATTCGTAAAGTTCATAGTCTTTAACATCCAAACTAGCCATTTCTATAACGTTTATGTCACGATTAGAAGGTCCATTGAACCATAATTCTGAAGATAAAAGTTCGCTATGTTCGACTCCACGAGAAACCAAATCAGCAGGATTCTCCTTAGAATGGATATGTTTCCACTCGAAGATTTCTGATGACTGAATTTTCACAACATGATTCCCAACAAAGGTCTTGAGTTGATGTGGAGATGCGTTTATCGACGCTATTTCTATTGGCGAATCCGAATATAATGTTACCTTTTCAATGTCTATATTTAGCAAAGTCAGAACTTTTTTTAACAAGCTTAGCAAGTAGAAGCCAAGCGAAGAGTTCTAAGCGTAGTAAAGATAGAGTCATCTGCTTGCCAGTCACTTTAAACAAGGGTTATCTCGAGTGGCATTTAGGTAGACCACTGCTCCATACACAGATGTTGAAGCATCGGAAAAACCTACGATAGCCCTTTTATTGGTTGTAGAATGCAGAGCATATCTTCCTTTCTTAAGATTTTTCAATTCCTTTAACTTTAAAATGAAATGATTCCATTCACTGGCAAATGGTTCAGGTAATTCATTGTCCCAGTTAAGTCTTAAAGACCATAGTTTCTGAAGGAATATTTTTGCTTTACAGATCATTGGCTCGATAAAGCCAATAGGATCATACAACCACGCAATGACTTTTTGTAAAAACAAATGATGTTGACGCATGCGTGTTAAAAGATTCATTGCTAGGCAACTAAGTTAGAGGCGAAAGGTTTCGCATAGCAGACGATTAGGCACCAACAGTATTCATTACGACTGATGGAGCAATGGTTATGCAAAAAGTTGGAAAGCTGATTGGTGCAATCAGCAATTGTGCTGATTGCACCAATCAACAATCAGTTATTTTAAGGAATAATACATCTATTACTCCTAATTGAATTTCTTGATTTAAATTGCTGATGCAATTTAAATCAAGAAATTCAATTAGGAGTAATAGATGTATTATTCCTTAAAAATAAAGAACAGGAGAACCCAAATACTGTGGATATAAAAACTTCTGATTCTGACTTTGAAGAGAGTGAGAGTGACACTGATGATAATGACGATGTAATTGTTGAAGAAGATATTGCTAATGAAGATGAACTATTAACTCATCAAGAATTGTTTTCTACAATTAATAGAGTTCGAAAAATTGTTAAGATATTTAAATGCCCCTCTACAAAAATATATACTAACATAAAATAAAATAGAATATATGTTAATATTAGATTCTAAAATACACTGGTGTGCAAAAATTAAGGACGAAATCGAAAAATTAGCATATCAGCTGAACGAAGAGGCAGAGTGGACAGAAAGACCAATCAGGAGATTAAGTAAGGTGATGTACGGTAGCACATGCGCAGATATGCAGGTAGACGTAATGGGGGAGTGTCTGAGTAGTATAAAGCATGTTGTCGGTGTAAGATCAGTATTTCTGGCAAAGAGATTGCACGCCGTATAGCACTTAAAACCACACTGAGTTGCTGCCTCAGCAAGAAAGGGCGAATAATCAATCTGTTAGACGACATCTGGATGCTTTTACCCAAGGTCGAATCATTGAGAAGTTGGAGGAAGGCCGCAGTGTGACAAGTGTGGCTGCAGAGTTCGGAATTGCTCACAGCATCGTTTCACGACTTCGGAGACAATTTCAAACTACAGGAACAGCTATCCGGGGGTTTAGTAGTGGTCGTCCATGAGGAACCACACCCGCAGATGACCGGTATA